AGCAATCCTCCTGTCTCAACCTGTTTTTCCCTTTAAATCAAGTTCATCTTGCTTCGTTTGGAACTTTTACAATGATTCCCAACTGATTTTTCAGCTTTTAATCTTGGTTGTTTTGACATTAGATGACTTTTCTAAACTAAACACTGTGTCTCTGCTCCAGTGATATCGCTCAGCCTCCACAGTCACTCTTAGCTACAAGTCTGATTTTTACTTGTAGGTTCAACACACCCTCCCAGTACCTCATGCCAGCTCAAACCGAAGCAGGGAGCCCAGGGTGACCTTGCATCTAACATACCTAAGTCAAACTGGTACAGACTCTGTCACCACAGTGATTTCACCCATCTCGAGACTCTTTACTATTTTGACATCTCTCTATTCTTGTCTCCTTACCTCACATTTTATCCAGTCTTTGGTGCATCTTCCATCTTAAAAGACTGAGATTCCACTATTACAATACCATGGATAGACAGATGATAGACAGTAGATAGATAGATAAATAGTTAGTGACAGTCTTCTCAGAAAATTTTGTGGGTATTAAGACTGTAGGATCCAAAATCAAAAGAACACCCTGCATGGATGCCCACCTCTCTTTAATTCTCCTTCCATGTTGGATTTTATCTATCATAGCTAGGAAGCATCTTCACTGTTCCCATGCTTTGTGTCATCTCTTTGTTTCACCACCCTAGATTGCCACGAACTTTTTTCCCCATTATATAATGATTACATTGATTGAACCAATTCACAGACAAAATGCAGAGCAAATGCTTGTGTCTCGCCAAACACCAAACAATATAGTCATCAAAATGAATAATGTAATAATATTAAAAGAGCAAGACAGCATCAGCATACATATATTCATGAGAAAAGGTGACTTGGTCTCATGTTATCCAGTTCATTATGCCTTTGCAAGAAATGCACATAGTCTTAAAGCAAAAAATACTGGTTTTATAAAATGCCCATGTCATATTTACAAATATTAGTCAACACAGAAAAGCTCAATAATTTACAAACTCAAATAGCAATTAAATGATAAATAATTTGCACTGTTAAGTATCTAACTCTATTCCCTCTTCTTTCAGAGAGATTTCTCTTAGAGCTTCATGTAAAATGAACAAATTACTGGCCTTGTTGCTTACTTAAAGAGCTTCTATGGTTCCTGCATATATTCCTTTCTTCTACTCTATCTTAAAAATTTACGAAACCTTTTTTCTGAACCCAAGGTCTCTTGCAAGCTAGGCAAGTACTCTAGCACTAATCTATATCCTTGATCCCTAAAAGTTGTAGAAACTTTATTTCATTCACTCATTTGTCCATTTGATTACTAATTTATTAACTCATTCATCCATTTGATAGTCATACATTTAATATAACTAACTCTCAAAGGCATTCCTAACACTACTGTTTAATCTAAGAATCATCTTAGATTCATCTGAGAATCTAAGAAGCCATCTTATATGGCATATAAGTTTGCAATTTTACAGCTGGAAAAGTTCCCTCAATTTTAGTCCTAATACCTCCTTTTTTTCTGTGTTCCTAAGTCCCGCTCACAGCTAGTCCTGGGCAAGTGATGACACATGCACACTACACTGAATAAGAGAAAGGGCAGCAGTATAGTTTCTGGAGATGATTATTTATGGGGCTCCAGTCTACTTGGAAAGCCCACAGAGAAAAATGGCAAAGGAAGTTGAGCGATGACAAGTTATGTGCAGTTTTCTTTCACCATTAACTAGTTGTATGTCTCTGAGAACATTAACTTCATGGAGCCTTGGTTTTCTTATTTGCAAACTGATAATTCTTTTTCTACTTCATGGCTTTTGAATGATTCAATAAAATAAATTAATTGAAGTACCTGACACATAAGTGTTCAGTGAATGTTTGCCAAATCTGAGACTTCAATCTCCTCTTTGGTTTATGTAAAGTGTCAGAAAATTACCATCTCTGAGTCAAATTTAGACCATGGGTTGTTTTTATAAATAAAGTCTTACTGAGATGAGATAGCGATGCCATTGATTTTCATATTTTCCATAAATATTGTCCATAAATATTTAAGCATCAGAGTTAAGTAGTCGCTATAGAGACCATATGACTGCAATGCCTAAATTACCATTTGGACCTTCACACAAAAAATGTTTCCTAGTTTCAAGAGTTATGGAATATATAATACTACTGTTAGACACAGAACTGTGTCAGGCTCATGGGTTCAAATGCTGGTTTTATCATTACTGACTTTGGGACTCTGAGCAAGTTATTTAACTTATCTGTGCCTTGTTTTCCATAGCCATAAAATAATTTATTGCATTGATTTGATAAAAGGATTAAATGAGTCAATCTAGTAAATTTTATAGCATGCTGCTAGGCAAATAGTGCTTATTATTATTAATAATTAGTTTTATGAATATTATATAAGATGTTTACATCTGCTATCCAAACAGTCTCTCCAATGAACTTGGACTACAAATGATTTTTAAAATCAACCTGAAACCCAAGGATTCTAATTAAAATGCTTTCTGCCACCAAGTGACTTGTGCACAGCTCAGGACTCCAGGATCTGGTCACAGTCCATCTACTTCTGTCTATGGCTCCTACCCTTGTTTTCTCCTTATGTAAGGCCTGGTGGTAATCTGGCCTGAAGACTCAGCCTTCTTTATAAGCTGACAGGCTCGTGGCAAGTAGGACCAGAAGTCATAATTGAGTCCAAGCTTTCTGCTAGTAAGGAAGCATCCACCTTCAATCTGGCTTGGTGAGGCCTCCTTAATCACACACTGCACACCTTCTCTGGGCTTTGAAGTTGATGAGACAAAGAAGAAGAAAGAACATCCTTTCCTAGCCCCTTTGTGTTGTTGAAGTCAGGCTGAACAGAGCTCACAGACGAAGGTCAGAGGCAAAGTTGATTTTTCAGGTGTGGAAAAGAGTTACGATGTACATTTACCAAGACAGACATTTGATGCCTTGAGTGAGACAACCTTCTGAAAACTAGAAACTCAGGTACTGCATAATGAAAGGTTAAAACACAAGCGTTCTCATGAGACAATCAGGAGTAGGTAGATGTGAGTTTATAGCCCCAAAAGAATCAAGTGTCTAAGTGTCACGTATACATCCAGTGCCACCAAACAAGAGAAAAAGGAAAGCCATCCATGGTGATTAAGAGGAAGTATGTGTGTGTGTATGTGTGTGTGTGTGTGTGTGTGTGTGTGTGTGTGTGTGTGTGTGGACATGTGTGCATAAGTATATTCTATAGTTATTACAAGATAACATGGAGAAAGCAATCTATTAACATTTGATTCACCAAGAATGAAAGGTTCCTAACATTTCTCAAACAGTGACTCCAAATTTCCTCCCATCATAAACTATTTCCCAAAGCAATATAATCTAAGAAAATATTGTTTATATTTTAGAATAATGCTTATACAAAAAGTCTTACAAAGTTATAAATGCAATCACACAGATTTACATACCATTTTTATTGGCAAGAACTCAGTCTCATGATATCTTCTGACTCACGTGATATGGTCACATGCAAAGGACATACATCTTTGGAGAAGCTTCAGTGATTCCTGAAGATGATTTCCCATATTCATCAAAGTAGGCTTTATCCAGAGCCAAGCCACCTGTAGGGAGTGTTACAGAAGCTGCCACCACCTCCTTCTGAATGGATAAAGACATTCATGCTTTTAATCAGGGGCCCCAGCACACACCCCAAGTGTGGCAATACTTGGGAGCAACAGTCCTGTCAACGAAAGCAGGTGACTGTTGTGCTGGTTTGCTTGAGCCAAGAAACTGTCTACCAAATGAGGGCACCTCCTTGAAAAGTAATCACCTCAGTCAATAATGCCAAGAATATACTCTTGCTCTCAGAGTAAGAGAACTTTCTATCTTAGATAGCTAGGCTAGCCCTGGTGAACATTTTAAACAGATGACTAAGGTGTTCATTAGGAAAAATAGTCTATTGTCTACATCTCAAAATGATTTATTCTGTCTCTGGCTTTATTATCAGTCCAGACACAGAAAAGAGTATGAGGAAACTAAGTTCCCATAGACGACATCCCCAGCCCCAGAACAGGATCTGATATATAATAGGTTGGCAATAAATGTACATAGATTTTTCTGATTGATCATGTTCTGCCTAGTGTAAAGGAAAAGTAATTTATGCATTACTTATTACTACTCCATGGTGTATTACTTCAAGCCTATTTTTACTATATTCTCTTTGCTAGTAAGAAATGAACACATCAAAATATATTATCCTGGAAGGTACTTCTTTTTCTGATATTATCTGAATGAATTGTCTGTTCCATCTTAGAGATGATTAGATTTATGCTTGAATTTTAGACTGTCTGTCTTTCTACCTGACACACTGGTAGCGGGGTTGCATCATGCCACACACTTTGAAAATCTTGCCAAGCCTAGAGGTAGGGTTCTATATGCCCAAAAACATATGATGAGCAGCACGGAAAGGGAAAATATCATGGCTACATTTGTCACTTTTTCAAGAAGACTTCAGATTATCCACAAGCATGAGGTTCATTTCACATAGAGACAGATACATGGTGTATCTTTGTATCTACAACATACACTCATGTAATGCTCCCTTCATTTTTCCAAGTGTAGAGATAAAAGGATAATTGCAGGATACACCGAGTATGCAGCTAGAGGTGACAGCTTGAGAGTGGCCTTCACCTCCTCTTATTTCCTTTGGCTCTGCAAACACAGGGACTGGCAGGAAGATAGAGGAGGACATGCAGTCTGGAAGCCAGGATCTTTCTCCTTGTTTTAGACACTAATTATCATTGGTACTTCGAAGATCATCCACATTAGGCCTGAAGTTGAAGGTGAGGTTGAGATAGGCTGCCAAGCAGTGGATGGAAACCCTCCCCGCCAAGAGATAGAGATGGTTTGGATCAGCTCTCAGGGTTTGGTAGCAGGTGCTTGAGGAAGTGCTACTGCAGGTCACCTTTAAAAGGGACTAGCTGTCAGACATAGGACCCACAGCACCGGCCTGCCTGAAAATAGGGTACCTGCTTTTCTTCTTTCTTGTAGATGAGCCCATTAGAGTCCTCTAATGCCTGTCATGGGGTAAGTCCATGCATGATTGATCATGCTACACTGAGGGCCTATCCAGCATGAAGTTTTTAACAGCTTTACAGCATGTCTACCCTAAACATAACATCCTCAAGTACTTTCTGTGAGAGCAGAACTGTCCGAGACAATTTCCTGTTACTTCTAGTTCTTTATCTCCATCTTCTTGGAAGTTTGTCACACATATACTATCATTCCAGAACAAGGTGCTAAGGATATTATGGTAAGCAAAAACCAAGACTGATAGCTCAAAATATAAAAATGGATATTTTTCAAATAATTGTTTCCATTATGTGATATTCCAAAATAGCAAAAGGAGCAGAATTCGAGGCAAGTCATAGAAGCAGAGCCACAGTGGTCTTGTTTAAAAATATTGGAGTCTTTTGCTCAGGGCCTAAGCTGAGCTTTTCCAGCTTTGTCATGAGAGCCCAGCCCAGTTGTTTGACCCCTGTGTGCCTTGACTATAAAATAATGACAATAATAGTTCCTGCAGCCTACGGTTGTTATAGGATTAAATGAGATGGTGTTTGTGAAATACAGAGAATGGTACAGCAGAAGTCTGCAGCTAAGGAATTAAGAAAACAGCTCTGCTTTCACAGAAAGTACTTGAGGATGTTACTCATTACTGTTATTTGCCTAGTGAAGAAAGTGGAGTCCAGGGAGATGATCTGTCTACTCCAAAGTCTCAGACTTTGTGTCCTGGGCTGCTATGTCTATTGTTCCCCAAACCTGGAAATCCACTGCATTCACTAGTCTTCCTCCTCGCTTAGCAAAGGGACATGTCAGGGAGTCCCAGCCTCAGGTAGAGCTTGGCATCAGCACCACAGAAGCAGCCTTACTATCATAACACATCTCTGTTTAAGAAACATAAACCACCCTTTGGCAGCTTCTCAAGTGCATGTCAGAGCCATTAAAGAGATCCCTTCTGTCATCCCACTTTTTTGCCTTGACTGTAAGACCGAACCTTACATAAAAACACACATGAGCTTACCCAACAGGTTTCTCCAACAGCCTCAACAGAGTGGGCAGGCCCCAAGGAGCCCAAGCCTGGGAAGGCTTGCTCCCTTGGCTATCTATGGCCCCTCTGACCTGGACTCTGATGGCCTCCTTATCCCCTTGCCAGAACCTGCTGCCTGGGAGGAGCTGATGTCACTAATCCTGCCTACGTAGCTACAGGCCATCTCAGGCTCCTGGCAGTGGTTTCCCACACCAGCCTGGCAGGCCCTCCTCCTTCACTCTGGCATCTCCCCAGTGGTGGCTGAGAGCCCAGCTTGGTGAAGGGATAGCCCAGTCTGGTGGTGAGTGTCCCAGTCCAACAATTTGGCCCACGTCTGACAAGTAGCATATGTACTTGTCTAACTCAACAAGAGCCCAGTCAAAGTACTGAGTTCCAAAGCTTGGGCTTTCCAAAGACAGAAGAGATGTTGGAAACCGGAGGACAGGATCAGAACAACAAGGGAAAAAAAATAAATCAGAACAAGACAAGGAATTCTCTTAAGTAATCATACCGAGTTTCCAAGTTGTGAATGTAAATGGCTACCTAGAAAACCATTACCTTACCCAGTCATCAATTTCTAATAGGCAGCCTCTCTGTGTCCCTAGAGTATATTGGGAAATTTTACGTTCACATTGTCCTAGAATTGAAGCTAACACCATACTCGAATTGCCCAAGGGCTCCTGAAGACAGGAATAAAGGTACTAAGAAAGGAGGTGCCTGGCACAGAGCTAGCAGAACAGCCAAGGAATCCAGAGGGTTATCAGAGTGAGCACAAGAAATATAATCAAAATAACAGCTGATTTTTAGAAAGCTCTGATTCTGCCTCAGGAACTATGAAAGTATTTGACGCACACTACCACCCAGGAAGACAGATATTGATATTTTTCACTTTATTGATGAAAAATCTAAGTCTAATAATATAAAAGAAATAGCCTTATCAAAGCCATTCAGATGCAAAATGGCAGATCTGAGATTCAAAACCTGGTAATTCTAACTCCCAGACAGACAATCTTAGGAATAGTGAGGGTGAGGGGTGTCTCATGGGCTGCAGATTCATGGTTTTACTAACACCAGTAGCTACCTCCTTGCATCTGTTCCTTTGCCTGGATGGATAATGACTAGATAGATAGATTTGATGCATCTTCCTTGGGTGGGTTGGAAGTAACTAAATCCTAGTGTATTTGGGTAGCAGAATAGGAGTGTGTGAGCTTTAGAGTTAGACACGGGAATGTCTCCCATGTACGGGGCAATGAGTCTGAGTAGCCTCAATCATATTCACATTTTTTTAACATCTCTATATAAAGGGGTACTCAGCGTCACTTTAATGGGCAGGCAGGGGAGAGGCAGCATGCAGTGTGCACTTAAAATGCAATGATGGGCAAAGTAGTACACTCTATGGAGGCAGAAAGCAATTGTACATTATTCCTGATGTAATCATAGTATCTTATCCCTTTCCCAAAGCTTTGCTTAATAAATTTGTAGTAAAGAAGGGTTGTAAAGATTATTTTCACATATACGTGAATATATATTAATATATATGTAAAAGTGCAACCCACAAGAAACACTACTATGCTGGTGGATAAGATGTGGCTAAACAAACACAAGTACTTCCATGGAATCGAATGCTAAGTAGTCATTAAAAAGAATGAGGCAGCTCTATTTGTAAGCCTGCACAAGAGCAAGCAGGACATATAAATAGGATCGGGAGGAGCTGCAGAACAATTCACATTTATGGCAAAGTGCCTTTTAAAAGGTCAAGAGAAGAAACTGCATTAGTCTATGAAAAGTGGTTACTGCCCTTTGGGATTCAGAAAGAAAGGGTGCATGAAGAAGTCGGTGTGATTACTGGTGTGGGGATATTTTTAATTTTTGTCTGTGTACCTTTGCTTTGCTCAATTTGCTTTAACAATGAGTCTGAATTTCTTTGCTTGTCTAAAACTCAAAATTATTCTTACATCTTAAATAAGCAAATAGAAGAATAAACACCTCAAGTGTCCAGCGTAAAGATAGCCCCACAAATGCTTAGCCCTTCCACTCCATTCCCCTGAAGAATATTTATCATTTCTTTGCCTGTCTATGTTCAGAATAAGACATTTAAAGTTATGCAAAGTCTCACCAGAGTTGGTTTTGTCTGTCAGTGTGTGTGGCCCTGCAAAATCACACCCAGACGTGCTGAGTTTTCTGGCTGCATCTTATAAAGGACAAATAGGTTGAAAGCAAGCCACTGGTTTTCTCCAGAGCAGAAACAAAAACTTAGGTTCTTTGACCAATGTGAAATAAGAAGGGTGGGTGGGCTCCTGGGGCATCTGGTTTGAGAATAATCTCTTCTAGGGACCCACCATCACCTTAGTGCCAAAGAAGAGTCATTACCATGGGCCTGGTGTCTTACCAAAGAGTCATTACTCCAATTTATAAAAACTTAAGACCAGAGTAGGAAGCAAAGGCAGGGAAACATTGCCAGAGTCAGTTAACAGTCACTCAGAATGGCCTACTCTCTTACAAACTAAACAGCTGCCTCTGTGGCTCCAATTAACCAGAGCACTGGACCTCCATTTTTACACAGTCATCTCCAAGCAGACCTAGAAATTGTTGGGGTGAGAAACAGACTTTAGGAAGCATCTCCTTTGTCTCTGAACTTCTCTATGTGTCCATGAGAAGATCTCGTGGAACTTCAAAATAATTTAAGAGGTAATTTAGCCTATCTGCTTTTCATAGATGGCTCAGAACAGTTATATTTCAGTGCCACAAGGATGTAATGTTAAAACCAGAAAGAAAATTTAGTTTCTTTTTTTTTAATCTAAAGCTGATCCTTCCCCAACACAACACATCCAACATACCCAAAGACAGAACGCTCACACATACACACATATACCTTTTGTCCTCACTGTAACTACCTATCCAATCAGACTAGATTATAAAGAGAAAGATTTTTCTCCCAATGTTTCTTGCCTTCTGGGGATCCTAAAAGACAAATGAACAGGGCAAGAATGTTACATCATCACCATACAGCACACTGATGTTAAATTCTTAGAGATTCCTTAGAAGATCCTATATTTGGAGACCCATAAATTTTCATAATTTTAGACTCTATATACAAACATTACGCAGTATTCTGTGTATGGATGTGAGATTGTGAGCCAGACACAGGTAGGAGACGAGCCTGCAATCTCTAGCTTTCCTGTAAACTTGACCACCTGGTAGGCAACTCTGGTCAAATGATAGTAGTAACTATTCTCACTTTGTTTCTCAGGTAATGTTGGGACTCAAAAGTTTCCTCATGATGCGATGATGCATGTTTGAGGCTTTGGAAACAAACCTTTCTAAAATTGTTTGCAGATATCATACCTATGTCTTGTACTCTGGATAACCACTACCAAGACAACAATATGTAATCTATGAATTATTGTCCTACTAATCTATTTTGAAATTTTGTTTTATTGTTATTTTTTCTCTTCGAAGTAGAAAAGAAAGGAAATAAATAATTTTCTATTTGCTTTGTTTTCTTCAAAAAGAAAGAAATGATATAGAAACATTTGTTATAGTAGAATAACGGCTGCTCCTTGCAGATGGACCATAAATGCTCAGACTCGCCACAATCCCCACCATACACTATGGATTTGTATTGAGATTTTTCCTTGGTTTCTGTTACCCTTTGTGTCTGAAGTAGTTACACTCCCTTTGACTCAATAATACCATTCATACTGCTGAGCCTGTTCCTGTATTATCTCTCAGAGGGTGAAATGAAACTCAGAGAGGCTAAGTGACTTGCCCAAGGGCACCATTAGCAAGAGTCAAACTAGTTCTAACACATCTGCTTTTCCCCAAGTTACTAATGTTGTCCTGACAAACAGAAAATAACTGATTAATAATAAAGCAAAGAATTGAACAAAAAAGAAGGGGCAAAACTGACATTCAGGGACAAGTGACTGCTTTTAAAGGAAAAGTTTACTAATAGGCTGGAAATTAACCTGTAGCATTGACTTTCCCAATGAGGGCCCAGACACAAGCCTGATTGAACATATATATTATTTACTCATGTCCTAGAAAAACAAGTTTAGACCATCCAGACAGAAAACATTTTTTTTCTTGACTCATAAAGACAGCCCTGAAAAGAATTTGGGAGTTGGCTAAGAAATAAAATAACTTGTTCAAATTAATAAGTGTTTTCAAAATATTTCTTAGAGGAGGAGTCTTTTACTTCACACTCTTAAATCTCACTGAATTAGTAAGTTCTCCAGGTAGATCCAAAATGTCATCTTAAGCCAAAATTCCTCTGTGATGGTATAACTAATCTCTAAATCAATCCCTGGAACAGACCTGGGCAGTATTTTGTATTAGAGTTCATTTGGGCAGTGTAAGACCCATTGCCCACTCTTCTGGCCCTTGTAGAGAGCCTAAAATCTTCCCCCAGAGAGTCCCCATGTGTACAGAACTAGAGGAGAGCAGAGAAAACAAGCAATTCTTTTAGCAACTTCACAATCTATTTCTGGGGTTGAACAGAAGCCATTAAAACATTCCCATGACTCTGTGCCAAGCCCCCAAATTACTAATGACAGACATGCTGGCTCAAAAGGAGGCACTGCTGGCAAATCTCCCTCTGGTATCTTGTTAACAGTAGTAACCCTGAGCCTTTTATTGAAAGATCTCAAAGCACAGTGCAAGCCTTAATTGACTGCCCCCCTAATTCTGTCCCTGAAAAAGGTAATTATCATTATATTCCTCAGACAGATTACACAGGGGTTAAACAGATGATGGAGGTTGAATGATTTATCCTTGTTTCATATTCTAAACTGAAAGGAACAGTCTAAATAATGTCATAACATGGGGTGAACTCAGCCGGATGACTTGCTGAACCAGATGAGTAGGAGAAGCAGACAGAGCAAGAATCTGGGGAGGCCTGTCACTAAAGAGGCCTCTGATGAGAGGCTCCAGGCCAAGTATCATGCACAGAGGCACTGAGCTGAGCTTATTCTAGCTTAGACATTATCCATAGCTGCCCAAGCCAGGTCAGAAGGCAGAGAGAATTAGAGCCAGACTCCTGGAAGTGGGAGACCTCGGTTATCTGTACAAAGTCTAAACTAAGAATCCATCCTCAGTAGCTTGGAGAAAAATAAGGCTTCATTTCATCAGTGGAACAAGAGCTTGAAGACACCTGGATCCACAGTAGATGAAGAGTTTGTGCCAGTGGAGAGCGTACACACCAGGTTTGGCATTTGAGGTGGTCATGCAGATCTGGGATCCAAGCTATTTTGGAATTGAATGTAAGTGCTACCAACTGAGAAGTTCACACCAAACAAAATTATATTTCCAAAACTAGAGTGAGTTCATAATCAGCAGACCTGCACTACAGGAAGTAGTAAAGGACGTTCTTCAGGCAGGAGAAACATACCAGATGAGAACAGTTGTCTGCAAAATAGGCATGAACAGCATTAAAATATTTTCTAATATATATTATTACAACACATAAAACACTTTCTTTTTCTAATTTTTAATTCTTTAAAAAGCTAATATTTTATAGAAAAAAACCAGAAAAAATAGTAGAAATAATACACAATTTCAAAAAAACAACAGAATTTCAAAAAAAAAAACAGTAAGAGATAACTAGTCAAATATAACAGTAAGAAATCATTAGTTGATAAATTACATATTTTTATCTTAGAAGTAGTAGTTGGTGAGGCTGTGGGGAAAAAGGAACACTTCACTACTGTTGGTGGGAGTGTAGACTGGTGCAGCCAACGTAAAGGCTAATATTTTAAGTGCTATGTATTACATATATATAAATAAAATTGAATGAAAAAAGATGGAACTAGATGAATGGAAGTATGAGTAGTAGGATTTATACATTGTGAAATGATACAATATTACTTAACATTAGGATGAAGTTAAAGATGTCTGTGAGATTCCCTCAAGCAATGCAAAATAAAACTTCGTGTTTTAAATAATCCAATACTGTATATAATCAGACATTAAAATAATTAGTAATGTAACAGGAAGTAGAATAAGGAAAAAGAATAAAACAAGTGGCCAGACTGCAGTTTAAGCCTACTGTATCTACAGTAACATTAAATTTTACTGATCATGACATTCCAGTTAAAAGACAGAATGGCTGGGAGGGAAAAAAAGGCAATACCCAAATATAAGCTAACTATACAAACCCACTGCAAATACAAAGGAAAGAAGATGAAAAGTTATTTACTATGCAGACACTTAAGTAGAGGCTGGAAGGTCTCTATTAATATTATACAAGGTAAATTTTAGGATAAGCACTGTTATCAGAAATAAAACAAGGTATTCCATAATAAAAAAAACTGGTGCATAACCTTCAGAATACTTGGCATTTACAACATGTATTACACCTAAAAGTTTCAACAATGTGAGAAGCAAAATTTGACAGCTCTGAAAAAATAATACAAATTCAGTTATAGTCAGATTTCAATAGTATTCAGTAATTATTAGAACAAGCAGTAAAAGATATAGGTGATTTGAATAACATTATATACAGTAACTGAAGGTAAGTGATATTTATAGAATGCTCCAGTCAGCTAAATAATATATATTCTTTGTGAGTACAAATGGAAGATTATACAGTGTTAGAATATGTCATGGACCATAAAACAAGTTGTAAAATAATTAAGAAGACATATATTTTAAAAAGATAGAAATATGTTACTTTTTAAAATCTCCAAAATTTGGAAGCTAGACAACATAACTTATATAATCCACACCAAAAAAAAAAAGAAAAATTATATATATTTTAACTGGATAATAGTATCAGCAAATATTTGAAAATTGTGGAGAGCAACTAAATAGAAGAGAGGCAAGAAATATGTAAGCATCAAATGCTTATATTAGAAAACAAAAAAGGTATAAAATGTGTGACCTAAGCTTCCATCTGAATAATCTATAAAATAAGAAAAAGATAAACCCAAGGGGAACATAAGAATAAATATAAGGTGGGGCTGGGGATTTAGCTCAGCGGCATAAGCGCCTGCCTTGCAAGCAGGCAGTCGTGAGTTCGATCCCTGGTACCGATAAAAAGGAAAAAGCAAAAAAAAAAAAAAAAGAATAAATATAAGGGAAGACGTCAATAAAAGAGAAATCAGAAAAACAATAGAGAAAAATCAATAAAACCAAAGCATTAAAAATGCCATTTAAAAGACAAATTCGTAAATATATCAGTTTGCTCAACTATGCTAAGGTTTGAAAATTATTCACTGTATTTAACTGTAAATAAAGGACTTAAAACATAATCATGTGAATCATTTACATAAATTCTTACATATGACAAATTTTTTTTGTACCAGGGATTGAACTCACAACCTCACGCTTGCTGGGCAGAAATTTGTACTGCTGAGCTAAACACCCTGCCATATGACAAAATTTAATATTTTTTTTTATGATTTAAAATCCATAAAACTAGGAATAAACAGAAATTGCCTTAATATTATAAAGATAAAAACTCCATTAACATACTACATTTGATGAAAGATGGAATTCTTACCCCCTAAGTTCTAAAAAAAGTAAAGAATATCAGTTTCACAACTTCTATTTAATATTGTACCTAATGTCAAATAAAAGACATAAAAATATAAAGAATTAAAGTTGCATTTATTTACAGACAAACATGACTGTTTAGAAAAGATAGCCTAAAAAATTCATAGTAGCATGATAAGAACTAATAATGAACTTAATAAGTTTGGGGGAAACAAGTGAAATATTTAAGAATGAATTTGTATCTATATATCAGAAAAAATAATTGAAAAAATAAAATTAAAAATATAATGCCACTTATGTAAGCATCTCAAACATAAAAACCTTAGGGAAAATTTAATAAAATCTATAATTTGTGAAAGATCTATAAACTCAAAACTACAATGTTATGCCAAGAGAAATTTTTTAAAAATTGGGTAAGGTGACAGTTAAACCATGTCCTTGGATTAGAAGATTCAGCATTATTCATGATAGATCTCCTAAAATTGATTTGTGTATTCAATACCATTACAATCAAAATCATACCTATTCACATGGAAACTGAAAAAACAATTTAAAATGAATGAAATTTTTTGTAAGTTATACAGCAGTAAACTAGAGTTCTGTGAAACACACACCTATAAAAGCAAACTTATAAGTAAAAATAACCTTTGAGAGAAGAAAAGAAAGATCAAAAATAGCATTATATATTTAAGTATTTCCTACAATAAACTGAAATTTAAAATGGAAGTAGTGAATTTCTTTAGGTGAACAAAATTGCATTTCCTGCCACTGAGTAGAAATGAAGATTAAAAATCTAAGTTAATTACAGCAATGTAGGGATTAAAGCTAATTTTTTGCGCACCTTAGTATTTTGCATGTGAGAATTGATACCTAGTCTCTTGTTTATTAGGATATCTAACTGTACCCTTGAGGCATTAGGATCACTATGTTCTTGGAAGATGTGTTCCTAGAAGATTATTTGTGTGGCTATGCGAAGAATTGGAGGTTGAAGCCAAGACTAAATTCTGATGTAGAATCACAGTGCTAGAAATGACATAAAAAATCACTTGTGCCTCTAAACTATACAAGGTTTCTGGTGGAGGACCATTTTAGCCTCCAGTAAAATAGATAAGAACTCACTATTTTAAATAGAAACCCATTTCACTTTCCACACGTTTTTCATATGATTATTCAATTATAGTACTGAGAAATAAACACACATATGAAATCTTGGTCTAGGCTAAGCCAAACACAGGAGCTGTCACTTTCTCCAACTTATTTGGGAAAATCATGCTATTTATATTTGATTTTGTCTGCATTTTCTGAGTACCTTACTCCTCTATTCCCCAGAAATATGTATATTTACATGCATAGATTTAGACCACACTACCACATTACTAAGAATTTATTGTGTGCCAGGACAGTTTGGTGGATGAGGAATGTGGTGGTGTATTCATGAGGATTCAAGCCAGGGATTCATATGGACATGAATCATTCTGGGAGGTGCTGCAGTAGAAGTAAAAACTTGGAGTTAGAAGCCAAGAGCTTAAGTGAACCTTTCTAGGATGAGGTCTATATTTTAAGACTCATGAGAGCTTTTTGGAGGAGTTGACTTTTGACTTGGACACTGAAAACTGTCCCGAATGAGTTAATCATAAGTGGAGATAAGAAAGATGGAAGACACTAACTTGGGAAAGTCAAGACTATAGTTAGACCTGGTGTGGCTGGAAGTTATGGGAAATAGGAGAGAAACCTGAAATAGGACAGGTTATCTAAGAGATTTCTTAGATTTGAACAAATGACATGGATTTTAGGTATAAATCTGGAGATGATAGAAGCCTTTGATAGTTTGGAGTAGGATAATGCAGCTACTGATAGAATAAAGGGCAACCTGAAGAGAAAAGCCTGGGAAGCACGTAATTAGGGACCTTAATTACTAAAGAATAGTAAAGGCCAGATGAGGGCATTTTTGTAAGTAGAATGAAGGGCATTTCTTTTGGAGCGTTTACAGAGGTAATTATCATTAGTGTTAGAAAGCTAAACTGCTGGGCACATCTGATTCCTAAGGGTAAGGGAGTGTGATTCACAGATCTTACATTTTCAGACATATGTTAAATGTGAATGAAACACTTTCCTAAAAGAGTTTTTGTAGCATTTAAAAACTTCACACTTACCCTAATTCAGAGCCTGAAGAAACCTCAGGGACACCTGTAGGAGAGATTTAAAATGTTACTTGGAGTCGATTCCAGCTTAGGGGAATGGGTGCTTACAGAAAGGTGCAGGGATGATTGGAAGACATATACATGTCTAGGCCCCTGACCTTTCCAGAAAGGGGGCTGTCAATGAAACCCACACAGAGGTGGTCAGGGAAAGGACTGCGGTTTCCTGAATGTCTTTGCTCTGCACTGCTGTAAAGTGCCTCTTCCGACCCTCAGTGTTTTTACCTTGACGCTTCTTTGGTGGCCGTCACAGTTAAGTTGTGTTTTGATCTTGGTAAAAAGAAGTTAACTAATTAACTTAAAACTCATGCGTTACTACAGTGATTAACAAGCCAGAGCTCTAAAACTAGCCTGCCCATGAGACAGCCCACAGTGCTTACAGAGGCAACAACCCCTGTATGTTGTCTCCTGTAGTTTGTATCTGGATTAAAATGTGGACATCACATTTCAGCTCAAGTGTGTCCCTTTCACATCCTCCACCCAGGCTAGACTCTGCTGTACTTGTCCAGAGAAAATGGATGAGCCTAGAATTACTCTTGCTGCCTTCGACCTGTGAACTCTTGTACCCCCGAGTGAGACTGTCAGTATTGCGGTAACCCTGTTGTATGTTCTGGGAGCCTGGGCTTTGCTGCAGGTGCCTTTTTTAGAACTGAAGCTCCGTCCTGACCTTCACTTGGCCGGGGCTCTGACACCTGTCTGCCTTACAGGCCTCTCCCTCACACTGATGCCATTCCCTAAAGCAGGCAGCCTGCCCAGAGGGTGACCCTGTTTGACTTCCCCTCTGAAGAGACGATTAGTGTCTTCTTTGGTCCCTGGGTCACACCTCTTTATATTTCCTTCAGCTCTTTATTTTAAAAATTGAACAAGGTCTCACTAATGGTAAATTTCCCAGCCTATGTGCTAATTTGCAATCTTTCTGCCACAGCTTCCAAGAGTGCTGGGATTATTATAAATTGATTTTATAGTTTCTGATTCAAGTTTCAAAATGGGCATTTAGGAAACCTGATTTACTTTACCTACAAGTTAAGTTATTTTCTGTCAAAATAGCTTGGGAAATACATTTATTTCAGTAGATGATTATTTTAAGAGTCCTTTCTCTTCCCACAATCTTTAATAATTAGATGACACAAAACAACAAAAAGAGAATTTAGTAAGAGCCACTAACAGTATACAAAATTTTCTTTTGATGTCATTTTATTGTGGCTGAGAATACCATGTCAAAGAAAAGTACAGTTTGGATCCACAGTTTAAAGGAAGATAGAGTGTAACAGGATAGGACAGCAAAATCCTTGGAGGAGCTGGAGCACCTGTGGTAAGACAGTGTTTCTCAAATCAGACAGTTCACTGGGAGAAACTGCTTTGCCTGTGTTCCCAACCCTGGGCCATGTTAGAATTCTAGTGCTCCTGGCATCATAGTGGTCACCATGCATCTTCCACATTATCTAATGCAAGCTCTGTCATGTCCTGGCTGCCTCTCTTTCCAAGAAACTATGCTTCTGAATTCTCAGCCTGACCCCATTTAAGGCATGAGATCAGGAATCTTGGAAATCCAAACACCCTGCTTTATAAATGAGGATCTGTGTGGCTCAGGGAGGGGAAATGCATTCCCCAATGTCACACCCTGAGTGTGTGACAGATGCAAGATAAAATCCCAGCCCCTGAGGAGCATGTGTGTTGGAATACAATTATGATTCCGAGCGGCTGGGGCTTAACTTCTCTGGCTCTCCTTGCACAACCCAGAAGGGAATTTCTAAGACCACACACCTAGCAGGTAATTCCTTCTCACAAAATAGTCAAGTTCTTCATTTTAAAAACCTTTTCTCTCCTAGCTTTCAGGAGCTGTCAGGGTATCATGATCTGTCAGCAGCCCACAGTGGCTGAAACAGAGCCAGAGAAATCATTGGAATCCTTGAAGCAGAAAAAAAGAAAACCAAATGTGTTCCTCTGTTTTCTGTGATCTGGCAAAAATCAAGTTTCGGTCCCAGGTACTCACAAAGTTGTTTCGACTCTCCACGTCTTCGGTGCTTTCTGATGGAGACTATTTCTTGAGTCCCTGAGATATTTGGCTCATTCATAAGAAGTTCTCATAGCCACCTGTGGAATCGGGCAATACACCCAAAAAACACACACAAAACTTGACTTGGTAGCTCTGGGGCGCTGAGAGTTATGGGATGCCTTGTTATTCTCATCTAAGCTTCCAGACAACACCCCTGGTCATTTCCTTGTGTCATCAGTTTCCAAAACTGAGCAGTGCTTGCTGGATTGCGACCGTTTTGAGTCCAGTCTCCTCTACCTGTTGACATGTAGTTTTCCGTAAAGCACATAAGCCCTGTGGATCACCGTGTCATGTTCTTAATGTGCTTATCAACAAACAAATGAGTAAAGAAAATCGTGGTACACATACACAATGCAGTATTACTCAGTCATAAAAAGAATAAAATTTTGTCACTTGAAAAACATGAATGGACTTGGAGATCATTATATTGAGTAAAATAAGACAGAATCAGAAGAACAAAATGGAAATTTTCTGTAATATGTGGACTCTTCATAAGATGACAAGAAAGTAGAAGGGAGGTTATTACTAGATTCAAGGAAGGGAAGAAGGATAGAGGGTTTAAGGGAAGGTAAAAGGAGGCATAAATACAGATATTTCTTTTTATTTGTTTCTTTTATTTTTGTTTCTTTTATTTTATGGAAAAAAGTAAAACAAAATTTGATAACAAGAAGAAAGAATAACAATAGTAAATTGTGTATTATCTTTGAAGTAATTACTCAGAGTACAAGATATGGGCATAAAATAATCTCCAACTGATATACGCACAAACGTTTCTTTTCTGTGAACTGAGTCACTAATTGTAAAACTAGCTTGCTTTTTTTTCTATTTTCCCTTCCTTCCTTTCCCATTTTCCCCATTCTAGTTTCCTTTTTCCATTTAAAACTTCTTCCCATTTCACAACATCTATTACAAATTTTAGATGTTATTTACTCTTTAAATTTCTCCCACCAGGGAAGCAATGTGATATTTATGCATGTGAGAATGATTTATTTCACTACTGAGTATGGTCTCAAGTTGCATTCATTTACCTATAAAAGTCTCCAGTGTGTCCTTCATTATGGCTGAGTAGTACTCCATTGTATAAAAATACCATATCTTTTTTATCCATTCCTTGGTTGATGATCATTTGGGTTGTTTTCAGGACTTAGTTAATGAAAATTGTGCTACTATAAATATGGGTGCATGTATATCCCTATGATCAGGTGTTTTTAATTCTTCTGGTAAAAAACCAAGAACAGGAGTAGCTGGATCAAATGGGACTTCTAATCCTAGCCTTTTGAGGAGTCTTCATATTGATTTCCACAATAGCTCCACCACTTTTCACTCCCACCAACAGGCAGAAGGGTTCATTTTTCCCTGAAGTGCATCCAGCATTTGTTATTGGGTGATTTTTTTTATGCCAGCCATTTTTTCTGGGTTGAGATGGAATCTCAAAGCTGTTTAATTTCCATCTCTCAAATGACTAGTGATGGTGAATATTTTCTTCATACATTTATTGCAATTTGTATTTCTTTGTCTGAGAAGTGTGCATTCATCTCAAATGCCCATTTTTGGACTGGGTCTTTGAATTTTGGAGTGTCTGATTTTTTTACTTTTCTATATGCTTTAGATAGAAGTTCTTTGTCTGAGGGACAGTTGGATAAATTTTTTCCCACTCTGTGGATTTTCTCTTCATTCTGTTGGTGATTTCTTTTGATGTGCAAAAGCTTTTTAATATGATGAGATCCTAGTTGTTGATTCTTTGAAGTAATTCCCATGCAGTCTGAGTCTTGTTCATGAACTCTCTGTCTATAAGTATGTCTTCAAGATTCCTACCTTTTTTCTTTTCCAGTTAATTGAGTGGTTCCAAATGAATTTTAGTAATGTTTTATCTAGTCTTCTGAGGTATGTTAAAGGTATTTTGATTGGGATTGCATTAAATCTGTGTAACAATTTGGGGAGTATAGCCATTTTCACTATGTTGATTCTTCCTGCTTATGATCAAGGAATATCTTTCAATTTTTTGATATCCTCTTCAATTTCTTTTTTAAGAGAACTGTAACTTTCAATGTATAGATATTTTACCTCTTTTGTTAGGTTGATTCTTAAGTGTTTTGGATGCTATTATGAAGGGTATAGTTTTCCTAATTTCTCTCTTAGTGAGTTCATTGCTTATATAATGTTACTTATTTTTGAGTGTTGACTTTGAAATTTAGGTATGTCTTATATATCTACTTATGTGTTTAATGATTATTCAGACTTATGATGCTGGTTAGACTTACTACCCACTACTCAGTCTTATGACCTGTATTTGGACTCATGACACGGGATTTAAGTGTCAGTACAACCTTACGGTAACTTCTTTTAAAATACAGCACTATAACTTTGCTGATTGTACTGTGTAGTATAATTCTGTAGTTTTATGTTGTTATACATTACAATACTTCATGCAAATAAAAGCAAAGTTGTCAAGTTGTAGTTTTCTTGGACAATTTCTTTGTTTTGAATTTTGTAATATACACTATACACAACTCATTTAATTAGGTAGTCACAGGAATAGAACTCAGTCATTAAATTAGGAGTGTCTGTATGATCCCAATACAATATAAACATCGAATCTCCCTCCAAATCATGTGAAACTAGAAAGAGGGTGGGACAAGTGAGTTTTGGACAAAAGGATTAATGTCATATGCATGTACAAATCTGCCAATATGAAACATAGTAACCTGTATACTGATAGACTGATAAAAATGTGAGACAAAAATTATGAACAACCAGCTTCTGCCTTGCTTTATACATAAAATCCAACCCTCTAACTAGAGGAGTAATGCAAAAGTGCTTTGCATATTGTAAACGTGCAATGACAATATTTGACTTTCTTTTTAACACATAGCAGACAGTGGAAGACAGACGGTGGGCATGCCCACTCTCAGATGTCCAATCTGCTCCGTCATGAGATGGGACCAAGAGCAGTCTCACTTCATCAAGACGTTTGAAGATTTAGAAAATAATCATGGTATTAGCAGATTTTATAGTACTTAATTTTTATAAGTAATGAAAATAAAATAATGATTTGATTTTTTTTTTGAAATTCTGTATTATTTCTACTCTTTTCTGTTTTGCTTTTTTTCTCTAAATAGGAAAGAAAATAATGACAGGGATCTGGAGACTATTTAATACAAAATCATATTTTCAAACATTGGCTCCAGAACATTCTTTGATGTTTATCAGATATTAGGAGATATAATGCTTTCTTTACTGCTTTCCTGAAATGAAAAGTCAGGGTCCTGCCCTGAACTCAGCAACAGTTTTGTAGCCAGTTTCGAAAGTTGTAAAGAGGTTGTGGAAGAGACTAGTAACTAAAGGTAACAAGCAGCCTAGAGATAAGCACACGTCTTAATCTGCGAGATTGCGAGGCTTCAAGTTCATCTTTTTTATATAACTGAGTAACACTCCATTATATAAAATGACTACATCTTTTTTATCCATTCCTCAGTTGATGGGCATTTCTGTTGTTTCCAAGATTTAATCATTACAAATTGTGCTGCTGTAAACATGGATGCAGATATATTGCCGTGGTATGATGCTTTCAATTCTTCTAGAAAAATACCAAGAAAGGGAATAGCTAGGCTGAATAGGAGCTCTTATCTTGGTTTTTTGAGGAATCTCCACTCTGATTTCTACACTGGTTGCACCAGTCTGCATTCCCACCAAAAGTTGAAAAGAGTTCCTTTTTCCCCACAGCCTCACCAGCATTTGTTATTGGATGATTTTATGGATGCAGCTCCAGACTATATTCATAAGTGAAATAAATCAGACTTGCAGACATCATATGTCTCCCTAGTATAAGAAACTAGAGGGTAAATAAGATCCAAAAGGTACAAAACATATTATGAAAGAGAAAGAAACTGCTCAAAAGGAAAAAACAAACTAGGATAGGGGAAAGGAGAAAAGAAGGAAGGAGGGGGGAAAAATATATATATATATATATGATAGCTAAGATCCTAACAATTCCATTAGTTCGTTGAAAGGAACAGTTAGTACTTATACTATTTGATCAATTTTGTATACCTATATCTGAGAATATGAGCAACTATTTTGAAGACAACAATATGCAATATAATAAGCATTATTAATTTCTTGAGTTGAAATTCTGTATCATTTTTATTGTTTTGTTTTTCTCTTTAAAAAAAGACAGGGAGATTTACTGCTCTGGTATGTAGCCTGTTTTCATCTGTCACATCTTCCCATCAAAGAAACTGTGAACCCACAAAACCATACACCACTCCCAAAACACCAAATCTTCTCAAACTTGTCACCTCTAAAACAACTGTGCTCAAAGCTGAAACCCTGAAACCAAGAAGGGATGATGAGGTGGCCCCTTGCCAAGCCTTCTTGATCAACTTTTCTAGCTCGGCAGGGCCCACTTTCCAGACAATTAACTGGGTGTGACTCTGTCTTCTGCTTCTTCTGCTGGGCAGGAAGGCTGGGCCCACCCACAGGGACAGGGATTTACCAAACAGGCCCCAAAGGACAATTCTAACTGCAACACAGCATAGACACACAGTGGAGGAGAAAAAAGCACTTGCCTAGAAAAGTCCTGCATTGAGAGTAAAGAGGAGAGAGGAGAGAGGAGCACTAGCCTTCAGGCTTCTTTTATTTTTTCTGCAAGAGAAAAAAGTAGGGAAAAATATCCAGTGAGAGAAGCCCTAACCTAAGCCTCAACCAAAAAGATAAATGGGAAGGAGAGATGCTGGAATCAAAGACAGGAAAAGGAGATGAACCTTCCAATTTGGGATCAAGCTACATTCTTGCCCCCCCTTGAGAGTATATAATCTGTCAGCAAAACAGGGGAGGCTCTACAAGACAGGGGCACAGCAGAAAGATGGTTCCTGCGTGTGAGAGATCCGGCTGTCTGACTGCAGTCCTGCCTCTGCCTACCTAGGTCTGCATCCCAAAATATGCATATATGTATGTCTATGTATGTCTGTCTTTACAGCTAAGACAAGATAAAGGGAGGAAAGCATTCCTGCCACAGGACTGTGCTGGCATCCCCGCATAACATTCATAATAATGACCCCATCACTCATCAAAGATGCTCCGCAGGCCGGGCCTCACCGGGCCTCCACAGTGCTCTGATCCCGCAGCCGGCTCAGCCTGTAATTGCAAACACCCTGCCCCTGGGAAGTGTCAGGTTATGTGAAGACACTTAGGCTTTGCTGGTGTCTGTAAAATGCAAGTTCAAGGGGACTTTTTAACATCAGAAGCAAAAATATGAGAGTCAAGAGACAGGTCCCCTGTGCCCTGTAGAGAGGATCAGAGTAGAGATAAGAAGTGGGAGGCAATTGCTCTGAAGGTGGGAAAAATAATTTGAAGGCAGAACAGACACACGGTAATTACTGCTCAGACAGGGCACAGGCAAAGAGGAGCCTGCTTTTAAGAAAACAAGAAGGGAGCAAATGCAGTTGGGAGGAGAGGACGTGCCCTTCTGATTAGGGTCAATATCAGAGTCCGCTTCCTAATAGGAGGGTAGGTGGAAACAGGTAATGACCCGAAAGTCATTTTCATAGTTAATGACTTTGTCAGCCAAATTAGGTGTGGGCTGTAATGTAAACTATAGGTTTTAGTTAGTACTAATGCATTAATATTGGATCATCAGATGTACATATGAGTAACAAATGTACTCAAGTAATGCAAGATGTTAATAATGGGGAAATTGTGTAGCAGGGGTAAATGGAAAATGGGAACTGTCTGTACTCACTACCCAGCTTTTCTATAAATCTAAAGCTACTCTTAAAAGTAACCTTTAAAAACAACAGGGGGAGGAGGAAAAAGATGTGCACAGAATGTAGGATTAAATATTTAATCAGCCCCTCCTCTACTAGACCAAAAGTTTTATAATTAGAGGAAAGAAAATTGGGTATTGTGCCTTCAAATATGACCTCTGAGTAAAAATCTAGAGGTATCTGGAATTCAACTTGGGTGTGATTGAGTTTCACCAAAATCAAGGAAAATAGCAAAAATCCCTTATCACAATAATGAGAAATAAGAGAATCCTTTCTGCCCAAAGTTTTCTTTTATGTTGCTGTTGCTTGCTTATGTTCATTCCAATCCGCTATCTACTTATAGTTTTGTAAAACAAAGCAAAAGTGAGTTACTAGAGAAGAATGATAATGCACTTGAATATCAAATTCTTGTGAAATTTTATAAATGCTTGCTCTTTGAAGTAGCTGTGTTGGATGAGAGTGAATGTACCAAAGACCCTGGAACTATATTAACACAGCAGTTAGCAGGCACAAAAAAATGCAGCAAAGGAACATGGTATTTATCAAGAATGTGTCTTGAGAAACAAGGACACCACCTCTTGTTGGAATAACCATGTTATTTTCTAGCCTTACAGCCGTGAGAAAAATCATTAAATGCAAAAATGCCACTTTCATACCTGACATCAAGAAGCTTTTCTAATATCTCAAGATGTCCTCGGCTCCTCCTGCATCGAGTTCATACCAAAATGGACCCAATTTGCATTAAGGTTGGAGACTTAATGAAGGTCCCAGCTGAGTAAGCTGGGAGGCTGGGATTTAATCCAAGTATTTACCCCAGGAATCAACACCCTCGGTCCTCTAGCATGACCTAGCAGGCGTAGGTAATTAAGCCCAATTTAAAAGCACTGAGTCAAGAGCACTCAACTAATTCTCAGTAAGGGGGTCTGAGGTGATAATAAAGATCTTGGAATGTTCAATAAAGGAATTTTTCTCTGAAAGAGATGAACATTCTAGGCAGAGGGATCAGCCCTGAGGAGGTTATGGAGGTATGGGGCACATGGAATATTCAGGAAAATTCAAGACATCCTATGCATTTCACAGTTAAGGAAGAATTCCAAATCCTCTTTTAGTAAAAGAATGGCAATAATTATTACCAAAAGGCTCAAAGTTTACATTCTCTAAATATTTTCCATGAAGATGAGATCTTCTTGCCTCAAAACAGAATATGCAGAACTTAGCAGAAGCCAGGATAAATCTTTTAAGGAAAGAGAAGCCAAGTATTCTGAGTTTTAATCTTCACATCAATCTAACTGCATGATTTTTCTCCCTATTTTACAGGTAAGAAGATTGAGACTCAGAAATAACAAAGACTCAATCACCAATAGCAGTAAAAGTGAGTTTCAAATTGTACTCTATGTGCTGTGTACTCTATGTGCTGTTAAACATTGCATTTTTCACAAGTTGTAAGGACCTAGTAAATGCATTTGCTTACAGAAAAGTAGACATGTTAATCCTATACTTGTATATACATGTATATTAAAATGAGCTATTTAATTAGAATTGACTCTATAGAGTGTTTGCTCTACTGACACTATTAGGTGCTTTGTGTATTCCATTCACTTAATTTCTGAAGTAGCTTTGCAAGGTAATGGTGCCAGGTTGTATTACGGTTTTCCACCATTCACTCCTTCCTACACAGCTATTATACATTCCTATGCATGTGACTCCTCATCCTTCTCTGCTAGTGGAATATACTCTCCTGTCTTAATGACAAGCCGAGTCATGTGACTTGCTTGAGCCGATGACATAAGAACAGACAGGCTGCTTGCCCTGTCTTTACCTTCTCTCTTGCTCAATCCTTCTTATCCAAAAAGACCATAACATGGCTGCTGGGTCAAGAAAGGACACAGTGCAAAATCATGGCAGTCACCCTGCAGCTTAACAACAATGAAAGTTCACCGAAACTCAGTGAGCCCCCGGGAGTGTTTGTTATTGCCACCAGACTAATACAGTTGGTATCTTACAACATTAACTGAAGTTAGCAGAGACATCCATGCCTAATTCTTACAGCTTCATTAGTAGTGGCATTTCAACTTACACCCATTTCTGTTGTTTATAACAGTCTATGGATTTTTAGTTAGTTTCAAAATCCTCTTGCAAAGCTCAGGCTTTTTAACATAAATTGTATGAGTCCACTTTCCAATGGGACATTATCTCTAGGTCCCCCACTTGTTTTATGATCCCTAGGAGTTCTCCATCCTTGCAAGCCTGACAGTTCTCAGCAGATTTGAGCTTGAAACATCCTCTGTATTACCTGAATGATTTATGAACTTAGAATAAACTCTTTGACCCCATCACCTTGTCTGAGCCACCACATCTCTTTTCTAGCTTTCTGTAAAAATCTCTGATATCGCCCTCCCACCCACCGTTCTCCATGCTATAGTTTTCAGTGACACTTCCTGGGTTCGAATCTCTTGGTGACGTTTCACAACTGTTAAAATCAAAATTAATCAACCTAGCCCCTGCCACCTTTTTCTAATTCATCTCATAGTGTTTTACTCCTTGCTTATTAGGTTCCTGGCATAATGACTTCTTTTTGTCATCAGATGGGCCAGGCCATTTTCCCCTAGCTTACAGCTTTTCTATTCAGTTTCTTTCCCTGGTGAAAACTCTTCCATCTCACCTTTGTGGTCTTAGTTCAGTTGGCCAAAATGGTATTCTCTATAGTGTTTCCAAAACACCTGTTCAAAGCCTTCTTCTAGATCACCCTTGAAATGGCCTGTTGACATTAGGTGTCATTTTTTGACTGATTCTGTGCCCATGAAACGTAAGTGGAAGTGTTTTCCTAGGTTGTCCCATCCTCCAGGCTCCATCCCTGCCTGAGCTCCTCACCATAGCATCAATTTATATCACCCTCACGGCTCTACGCTGGCTTTATTTATGACATTTATCATTGTCTGAAATTACTGTCTTAATTTATAATTACCAGATCTCTTTCTGTCTTCTGTGGAAGAGTCTGAGGTCTCAGAAAGCAAGGGCTTTGTTCATCACTTTCAAAGGCATAGCACAGTGCTTATAAGAGAGGACACAGGTAACAGAAGCTCAAGTAATGTTTTTAAAATACATAAATATGCACAGAGCTTTTATGAAAACAAAACAAATTGATGGTTGTTCAGCAGTTGGTCTGGTGTCTGATAGAATGTAAAAATTCAATGAACACTCCTAATTGTGAGTGTGAAGAATTGAGGCCAAAAGACTTTCTTTGTCACTGCATTATGAATTAGAGATAAGACTATGGCTTGGAGCAACAGATGTATAAGAGCCAGTTTCAGACCTGAGCATCAAAAGTCACATGTGCTAGCAGAATACAGGTACCTCAGGGGGGCAGTCCCTGGCATGGACCCAGCTCCATGAGTAAGAACATTTCCTCCCAGCAGCAGCACAATGTAAAATTGTTAGCAAAGGTCTGATATTCCAGGGCTAGTATTTCACCTGCCTTCCATATCAGCATCTTGTAAGAATTATGGCATTCATTGGGATATAGTTATAGAAGTTAGACTATGTTTCTGATTCTGTCTGAGTTCTACAATGACAAGTTAATAAATCACATCCCTCCCATCAGTGAAGGAGAGAGAGACTGACATGGAAACCAATAGTTAAAATTAAAATGTGACCAGACGTACGACAGAGGATAGACAAAAGATACTTGAGTAAATAAAGATAAAGGAAACTGTCTCTGGAGGCGTGGAGGCTGCAGGAGATGACCTCTCAGGTGAACCTGAAGAAGAAAATATTTGTTTTCTAAGATTTAGTGGAAAGGACATTTCAGGAAGATGGAACAGTATGTGCCAGGGATGAAGTTATGAAGTTCAGGAATCCTAAAAGAGAAAGTTCTGATGACTGAACCGTAAAGTGATTCATCTGGGGTTCACAGTGTTGCTTTTAAAAGACATGTATGTAAAGGAGAATTACAAACAAAAGGAGAAAATAAATCTATTGGTTAAAAATGATAACTTTGAAGATTTTGTTTTACTTTAGCATGAAAAAATAGAAATAGTTTCTGACTTCCAATCTCTTTCAGGTCCTTTGGTAAATATATTGCTCAAAAAATGTAATCAGGCTTGGTGGCCCATGCCCACAATCCCAGCACTCGGGGAGCCTGGATCAAGAGAGTTTCAACTTCAAGCCCAGCTTGAGCAATTTGGTGACTTAAAAAGATCTGATTTCAAAATGAAAAGTTTTGGAAGAACAGTTCAGTGCCAAAGCCCTGAATTCAGTCCCTGGTACTGAAAAGAAATTATCCCAATTATTCAGAAATCTCAAAATTAGAAAATAAAAAATTCAGAATATGCAAAGCTAATAATCATTGTCCATATGTCCCTGTTCTTTGACTTGACTTACACATCCCATTCTCGGGAGACTGAACAAATGGAAACAGGATTTGACAGCATAATAATCATAGCAGGCTACTGCAGGGTCTCTCGAGGAAGGTGCATAGATTTCCTAGTGAAGCTGAACTTTATAAAGGTTGATTATGGATGCCTGAATGAAGACTTCTGGTAGAGTTCTAGAATAAGGAAAGTCAATATAAGTCTCTAGTTCACAGGTCAATTTTTAGAACAAGGATTCAAAGGCACGGGACCTTCCTGGTCCAGTGAGGATGGAACAGGGTGGGCCTTGGAACTAAGATCCGTGGAGGACCATCAGGAATCTAGGAGTCACCTGAAGTTGTACGGCAACACTTTTTGTAGTACACTACATATGCATTCACCAGGGAGAAGCTTTTCATTCATCCAAGTTTTGGCATGTGATTTCAGTTTAAGAGATTTCCAGTGTCCTCTTCTTTTTGGCCAGATCACATCGGAGCAACATGTTTCTAACTTGTTGTTCCGGAGCCTGAGGATTGAGCAAGCCTAACTGCTGGTTCTTGGCAATAAACAGCGCCATCGTTCAGAAGTTTCCGTTACTTCCAAAATGCATCCCAGATTTGTCACTTGTCTCCACCTCCATCGCCAAACCTTCAGTGAGGCCACTATCATCACTCTCACCAGCACAAATGTCACGGGCTTCGAGGAGGTCTCCTATCAGTGCTTTCCCTGATGCGATCCAATTTTCAGAGCATCCTGAGTGACATTTTTAATGAAAATGATATCACCACTCTGTACTGAAAACTTTCTACTGGCTTTATAATGCCTTCAGTATCATCGAGTTCCTTGGTGTGATTCAGGAAGCCTGACTTCACACTTGCCACCTTTTCCGGTGCCGCCTGCCCCCTTGCTCCCCAGAATGCACACAGAGGTACTTAGCTCTGCTCCTTCACTCACTCTGGGCTCCGCTCCCTTTGCCCTCAGGCCCACACTCTTGCTCTGCTATGTTCTGGCATGCTCTTCTGCCCTCTTCTCACAGTGCGCTCTTTGCCATTACTTACATACACTTCTCCCTGAGAGGTCTTTCACAGATAGCCCTCTCCTGACCTGCTCGTTTTGGTAGGTTCCCATTCTGATCACATTTACTTTTCTCTATTGCAAATTCAGATTCAGTTGTCGCACTAGCTACTTTAGAATGCATTGGCTACTTTCTTGCCTTTTGGTCAGTTTTCCCCACTAGATAATAAGCTCTACCAGGGCATAGGCATTGACTTTCCTCCTCATACCCTGATGCTGCCACACAGTAGAGTAACTGATGAAATGAATAAAGTTTGTTATGCATTCATGGATAAAATAAATTGAAAGATGAAGAAGGAAATAAAGAAGAAGACAGGAAGGAAAGAAAGAAAGAAAGAAAAAAGAAAGAAAGAAAGAAAGAAAGAAAGAAAGAAAGAAAGAAAGAAAAGAAAGAAGGAAGGAAGGAAGGAAGGAAGGAAGGAAGAAAGAAAGAAAGAAAGAAAGAAAGAAAGAAAGAAAGAAAGAAAAGAAAGAAAGAAAAGAAAGAAAGAAGGAAGGAAGGAAGAACACAGTCCATATAAGCAGTCTTCATATCCCATCCTCATGCACAGAGCAAATGTCATTGCCCAGATATGCTAAGCTGTCAGGCCTGCTAGGATGATACTGGTGGTCACTGAGGGTACAGAGAGTGCGTTAAGGGCATCTGGAGATGGCTTATTTAAGGATGTGGCTTCCAGTGTAAACCATCTTGTCTCCAGGGATAATGTATATAGGCAAATTTAACTCAAGGTATCCTCTGCAGCCCAAACCAAAATGAAGGAGACAGGGACGAGAGAAGGGTTTTCAAACTGAAGACACCACACTAAGCATTTAGAAGAAACCTTAAAGAAGCTTTCAGGACCCTTTCCTTGGTCAAACTGAGAGTGGTTTTAGAAGAATAAGTGTTGGTGAGAGATGATGCTGGTCTGATATTCAACTAAGAATCAGTACAAGTGGCACACAGATGCGTGAGACACAACACTGTCTGACTGCCTTCCTTTAGCCCACATGAAAAATCCTCTCACCTCCCAATGGAAGCCATGTCCTCATTTGCATCTTTCTTTCCTTGCTTCCTCCCAGTCCTTTGCTATGGATACCTGCTTCAAATCTAAGATCTTTCTATCTCCTAATCCTGCACCTACCAGTAAATTTGAAGGGCATGCTTGTACCAGCTCACAGACTGCCTTATCCATCATTAGCTTGATATATTGCCTTGTTTGATTCTCCCTATTGAGATACCCTTTAGGAGGATGCTCAGGCCAAACTCTGCTTCTTGAAGTCATCCATCTTTGTCCTATGGTTTAAAATGTTGGGCTCAGCTCTGACTGGAAGAGTTTGGGAACCAGTTCCTACTACCTTTTAAAATCTTGTACTTAAAGCAGCTGGTATTTTTCACTGAGTAAAACCATGAGCTCTTAACTCATGGATCATGCTCTACTCAAACCTTAACAACTTTATTTCAGAACAATACCAGCCAAAATGACTTCTCTTCTCTTAGCCTCAATTTTTCTCATCAATTAAATGGGTATCAAATAATCATCACCTCATTCTTCTGCTTAAAAAGATTGAATGAGATAATGCCATTCTCTTAGAATTTTCAAGATACCCAAGCTGATATGCACTTTACACAACTCCATCAATATGCCCAACGCCAGTCAGTTTGTCTTTAAATTTTAGCCAAAGCTGCAGAATTCTGCCTTCCTTGCCTGTGTGTGTCTGTGTGTGAGACACACATGATTAAAAATACTGAGAAATTATGCCCAGGAGCAGGCTTCAATCAGTGGCACCTGATGGAATCCTGTCACCACCCCTCACTCCTCAGGTGGGATGTTGCTGAAGAATGTGAATTTTACAGCCTCCAGGGCTTCCCCACAGGAGTTCCAACCATTCACTATGCGGGATGGCTGATACCACACTCACAATTGTGTTGTATCTTTAAGTCCTTGTATCGTTCTCCTGCTTGCTTGTCTAGGTTAAATTTCTCAAACTATTTGCAATAGAATCTGCATATAGGGTACTGCTCCTGGGAGAACAACCTCCAGGACAAATTCTCAGCACAGTGCAGACTCTATGTAAACCATCAGCGTTGGACTTCGCTGTTTTTGTTCCAGGAGACTCTTGGTCCTTCTCTCAGCAGAGAAGACCTCACTTCACACCACCCAAAACCCCACCAACCATGGGAACACATTGCTTATCCAAAGCACCAATCAGCCTCACCTGCAGCACATCCCTGTCCTTCCTGCAGGGGCTGCAAACATGCTGCTTCTTTGTCCTCAGAGCCATGGAGGGAGACCTGGAAAGTACTTTTGCCTAACCTCTGGGGAAGCCAACCCCAGGGACAGTGGTGAGGTGGGCAGCTTCCTTGCCCCACCACAGCAGGGCCAGCCAGAACAAATCTGATCAGTTGTGTCTCTGTTCTTGCAGATACTGATGAAAGGCAAAACCACGGCAATCTGCCCCAAACTTGGACAAGCATGAGCTCCTCCCATGAACCTGTCTGCACATCTCTCTGTCCTTGCCTATGGAGCATTCTTGGAAGTCACTCCCTGTAACTTTATTCCCCTAAGAGAATTTCAAGAGGTTATCATCATCAAAGCCTCATCCATTTGGTAGGCAAAAATGCAAAAGCTCAGCAAAGTCTTCCTGGATGCCCCCTTTTATTCCCATGACAAAGCCTAAGGTTGATTCAGTGCTGAGCACCTGCAGACCCAGATTCTGTAAAATCACATAAGACCGGGCAAATTCCAGCCTCAGGTCTTACAGATTCCCCTAGTGTTGGTTAGTAAAAAACAATCATAAAATTTGTTAGCCAATTGACTGGGTCCTAGTCACCATAAATACTTTCAACTCTGAGAACAAAGCTTCTTCACAGAGTCAAGAAAAAGATTTATGTAAGAAAAAAATTTTCAGTTCCTCTATGGACTGACAGCATCTCAGTTGTACCCTTTCCAAGTTCCTGACCTTCAAAATTCATCTACTTGCCCAAATGAATGTTGTTTTATGCTCTAAATTTGTGCAATAATTCATTGTACAGCCATAGCAAAGCGGTATTCTTCAACCTCAGTTTTCTCATCTGTAAAATGGAGTCTTTGTTGATACATGTCTAGTAAATGATTTATGAACAATAAATGATTCTTTTGCACTTGCTACACTGTAAGCACTCAAATACCAGAGATCACGTTTGCTTGTTTTACTTAATGGAATAACATATGGGTTAAATACATCTGCTGAAAATCCCCTTGTTAATTGTTGTACTGACTGTCTCTTCTAATTAGATGAATAAGAGATATTTATGAAAAAGATGATCCCAACTTTTAGCTAAAAATAATTTGTCTACAAAACTGCAGACGTTATTAGTTCTTTAAAAGGCGCTAAGACAGGTTTGGTAAGTGCACTTGTGGTGGGAGGGGGCGGTGTCTAGGTATATCTGTGACCTCATGTTTATTTTACATTCTCAACCCATGCATAAGCTTACAAACTGACTGATGTGAGGATTACAGACAGCACAGGCATGATGTACATGTACACACATCCAGGGTGTGCAGCAAGCGGATGACCCAAAGTGATAACTGACACTCCCATTAGTTGGCTTCCCTGTTCCTTTCCAAGCCTAAATGCTTTTATTTTCTCATCCATAGATCGATACAGCTGGCAGGTAAGTGTCTGTCTACCACATCAGAACAGCAAGACCCTCTCCAGGCAAAGGATCTCAGGCTCTCCTGAGGGTCCTCAGGTTCAGCCACGCTGAGCAGGTGTCTGAGAAGTGGGCCAGACCACACTGGAGCATCGAGCCGTCAGCGTACAAAATCAGATCTGATCGGGCCTGTGGAAGATAAATGAGCTGAAGTCCCCCCAGCCCAAGATTTGGTCATCTCTTTATGAGCTCTGAAGGGCCTATTAGCAGCTCTGATGAGTGCTGGGGGAGATGAAGTCTGCCTCCAACAACGTTAGCCGGCAGAATCAAATCACTCCCAATCCCCCTGGGGGGAAGGAGACGGCTGGCTTCCAGACGCAGCGGCTTCTCTGCATTGCCCAGAAGGTTTATATGCACACTCCACTGGGGAAAAGGGGATAAAAAGCAGTAAATGTTCCTCCCCCAAGTAGACTGGACTAAGAATCTCTTCATATAATAGCTTCTCCTCAGGCAATTCACTGCCCCTCTTGGACACACAGGCTCTCACTTCCCTCTCTGAGTCCAAGCTTGGGAGGCACCGTAACCACCCAGCGAGGACAGCTGAGCCAGAGCTCTGGCCCCTTTTCTGAGTCCCAGCCTCACTCACTCCCGGCCAAGCAACCTCCGGGTGCAGAGCAGAGCTGTTCAAACACCACATGATCTGATGGGAGTCACAGGGCCACACAGATTCTGCTTGTGGCGGCTGAACGATCATGGGCAGTGATCCCAAGAGTCACAGTTCTGTCCAGTGGGGCAGTGGATCAGTTCTGGCTTGGGTGTTGGGAGGAGTCAAAGGAATCATATCCATTCAGCTGGCGAGGGGTCCCCAAACCCCTCTCTGCCCTTCATCCAGGGCACCAGGCAGGCAGCCACACTGCGCCTGAGAAGGGAGAGGGACACACAGCAACCCTAAGGCTTTTACCATCTTCAAAAGATGAAAGGAAGGACAATTAAATCTAGGGCAAAATTTGGGCACAAAAAACACCCTCCCGAAGAGAAGAAAGAAAAGCAGCAGGTTAATTCAGACCTGTCCCTACCCCACCTCTCTCTGTTCCATGCAGTTGATCACAGAAGGCTTAGGTATGAATCCTGACTTCCTAGCTGTGTGACCTTGATCTGCTCACTTGCCTTCTCTGAGCCTCAGAGCTACATGTGCAAAACAGAACAACAGTATTATTTATGTGGAAAGGCTGTTGCGAGGAAAGTGTGCAGAAGTTATAGACAGAGTAGCCAACACCAGTTTACGTGCCCTAAGTTCCCCTCAGTGCGGTCCTCCCTTCTTCTGTCTCGGCACCGCAGAGGTGCGGGCGCCCTACCTGCCTTGCCCACCTGCTTCCCAGCTCGGGATGGCTGCTCCTTCGAAGCCTTGTTTTGTTTTCCTCTACGGCACCTGTCTTGCGCTTAGCACCGCCTCCACCCCTCTGCTGTTTAGACAGCTGCCATAACCCTCCTCCCACTGCGCTTTGGGATTGTTTATCTGCTGGAATCCTTGGCTGGATTGCAAGATCTCTGAAGCCAGGGGGCATCGCTTATTGATAAGATAATGACTTATTGAGTAGTGTGAAATGTTTGCTTTTTAAATAATTTGAGAGATTACTACGTAATAAATACCAGGACTGGAAGCAGGTAGATAGAGAGCTGGACAGGGCCCATGCCTCTCGGAACTTAAATGCAAGGTAGACGGAGAAAAAAGCCAAAAGGAGAATGTCAGTATCAGTGAGCAGTAAGAAATAAAGGTTTGAAATGTGTCTTCCCAAGGATAGAAACTCACAGGCTGAGATAGAGAAACTGAGGAAGCCACTTTGGATAGGAAAGGAATATTTTAAAACCCTCTGTTCACTGGGCATGGTGGCACAACTGAGGGACGGGAATTGCTAATTTGAAAACAGTATGAGCTGTAAAGTGAGCTCCTATCTTAAAAAAATAAAAAATAAAAACAAAAGCCCCAAAGCCTCTATCTTAGGGGACATCACACAAGGCATAAAGGAAGATATAAATAACAAAGAGGAAAAGTCTTTTCTAGAAGCCAAGGGCAGAGAATTTCTTCAAGCAGCAGAGTAGGACATGCAAAGATCCTGGGGCAGGTGGGAGCATGATATTTCTCGGAGCTGACAGGAGGTTATTATACCTGGAGTAGATGAATAGTAGGGAGAATGGTTATGGTGATCTTGGGGAAGGGGCCAAGGAACAGGTCACAGGGCTCAGCAGGAAAAAGTCAGGTGTTTTGATTTAGAGTCAATAAACTATGGTTCACAGGCCAGGCTCACTTGCTGCCTGCTTTTTTATAAATAATGTCTTGTAACACAGCTACACCTATTGGTAAACCTACTGTCTGTGACCACATTCAAGCCACTGAGACAAAGCTAAATACTAGCTTCTGCTACTTCACAGACCATGCAGCCTAAAATACATAGTATCTGGACCTTTACTAAAAACTGTATGGCCCCTGGGTTGCAGTAGACAAGCAGAAGCCAGCTTGAAGAGTTTTTAGTAAGAATTAATGTGATTTGATTAAATACTCAGAACTTTGCCTGGCACACACCAGCTCCCCAAATGTGTTTGTCCAGTGAGTGAGTGGATACTTAGATGGATAAGGCTTCATTATCCGTCATCATACAATATTATCCCTTCTGTTAGCACAAATAATCGGGGGCTTTATGGGACTGAGTGGGAGCCTCCCATCCATCCAGGCAGACTGCATTTTTCACAGTGCTAACAGCTGACGGATACTTAGAAAATTGAATGTTTTATGCAGCTTCAGATTGGAAATAGCAGTGTGGTTTTCACCACAGGGAACCTTCTTAATGTAAATCCAACCCAATTACACACATGCAGGCGGGCGCCGAATTTGCAGCAAGACTGAGTTTTGCCCAGCAGTCAATGAAGCACAGCTCGGGGAGAGAAGCAAAGGAAGTTAGGAAGGGTGTGGGAGATGCAGGAGGCACCCTAACCCGGGGGCCCCTTATTCTTCCTGTGAGTCATGTGTGGAGGGTGCTGGGTGGCTCACAGAGCCTGAAAGAAAAAGGATGAAGTGGCTTATGCAAATGCACAGCAGGATGCATTGTGCCATTGCAAAATCATGAATTGGGGAAATTGCTGGAAAACCAAATTTTTTCTTTGGTCTATAAGAGATGACCAAAGCCTCCAAGACTGGGAAATTTTCCCCTCTTTAATTAATTGTAATGAGCCTTATGAGGTACATGCAGGAAGAAAAGTGTAAGAAGGATGAACCCAAAAGATGGGTCACTAGAGTTTGGTAAATTAAATGTCTGCCCTGCTCAGGGGTCAGGGTCACTTGTGACTGTCAGCCATGCAGCTGTGCTGTGAGGGTGGTTGGTGGCCTTCTGAGCACCTGCAGGGGACAGATCCATTCAACACTTTCCTTTGCTCCTCCCAAAACACAGACGTTAGGGCCCTTGTCAACACTTGCTAGGCATGTAAGGATCCATTGTGATTTTAGGAGCTTGAATTTATTTACCAGGGCTAGCATAATAAACTGCCACAAACTGAGTGCCGTAGAAAAACACAAATTTGTTTTCTCAAGGTTTAAAGGTTAGAAGTCCAAAACCAAGGTGCAGTAAGGGCCATGTTCTCGCTCTCTCACACCTCTAAGGAAAAATCCTTCCTTTTCTTTTCCTATCTACTCGTGGGGACCAGCGATCCAGTCCTTGGAGTTCCCTGACTTAGTTCTGTGTCACATGAAGGTAGGTTTTAGTGGCCTTTGGAAGAGCTTAGATGATGCTCAGAATCTAAGCTCCAAACTGCTCCTTTCTCATCAAAGTTAAAGTACTCTGCCAGTAATAATAACAGCAACTACGCAATCCGTATTCCTAAAGTGATGGCATTTTTTCTTCCTTGGGAAAGGCCTCCTCTGCCCAAGAAATACCTGATCAATAGTTTCTACTGTAGCAAATAAAAACTAAATTGCAGCCCACAGCAGTGGAAGTCGGGAGTTCCTCTGGCCCTGCAAACCTTTGGCAAGCAGTGTGGTCACTAGCTGACCTCTGTAATGCTGTACTGGCAGGTAGCTCCCTGATAGGCCTATAACTTAATTTTAAATGGAAACCTTCACTCAAGGCTAAGGGATGGGAAAAGAAAAAGCCATCTGCATTAGCATGTCTCAGACTATAAAGTGCACATGGATCACCTGGTCTGAGTCAGTATGTCTGGGATGGGGTCTGCAAGTCTGCATTTTTAACAAGGTACTAGGTGAGGCTAATGATGTTTGTCCCCTACCCACAATCTGGGCATTAAAGATCCACATGAGTCGCTCATTTTTATAATTGCCAGTTCAGAAGGATATGCATTCCAGCCAAAAGAAGAGCAATTATGGTGATCATTTCACTTAGAAATTATAGGAAATTATCCAGGACAAGTACACATGCACTCCTGGGCCCCTACAATGACCTATAAAGCTACCTACATCTGGAACAAAAAGAGCGAGCTTATAAATGTTTATGTGTTCCTAAACCAGTATT